CGGTTCGATCCCCCAGCACCACATGCCTGCCAGCCCCGCCCCCAGGTGGGCTTAGCTGGCCACACACACACACACAATAAATAATAAATGTAAAAAAACAAAAGTAAAATTATACATGACTTCATGTTTTCTGAACACTCGGGGTCTCAGAATGATAAACCAAGAGAGGTTTTATCTTAAGGTCATCACTTATTACATGTAGCAGTAAGGTTAGCCTCTCCTTAGGCTTGTGGCCTTTTATTTTCTTCTCTTTCTGGGTAGTGTATGTTCTCTCAATTTCTTCCAGAAAAGGCCCATTTCATCAGAGTTGAAAACTTGATGAGAGCATTTCTCTGTCATCAATTTGAAATGGTGTATGTAATTTTCAGCATCCCTTTTAGCAGTGCTGGCTGTTTTACCATACTTAGTTACCCTATGAACCCCAGTTCTCACTTAAAATTGTTAAACCATCCCTTACTAACATGAAATGTTCCACAGTTATCACTGTGGATGGATTATCTTTTATAAGATCTGTATTTATATTCTTGGCTTTTTTAAAAGTTATAGACTCAGGTAGTCCATAACCTGCCATCTGCCTTTTTTTTTTTTTTTTTTTTTTTTTTTTTTTTTTTTTTTTTTTTTTTTTTTTTTTTTTTTTGGCAGTACCAGGGGGCTCAGACAGGACCTTGCACTTGCCAGGCAGATGCTTATGTTACTGAGCTATATCCCTGGCCCACCATGGGAATTCTTTAGCCAATTCTTCCAAATCTCATGGGTGAGCAGGAGCATTGTCCATTGCCTTGAATGGTAAACCTTTTGGTCCTCGAATGCCTTCAGGGCACTTTTGGCCAGGCAGGAGAGTTGTGAGGTTCAAACTCCAGCAACCTGAGGCTGACAGCTCTGTGGAAGCAGCCACTTAAAGGACTGAGCTAGGGCCAGGACCCCTCCAGATACTTCTTAACAGGACAGAGAGTCTCCCTGATCCATTCAAAGGGTACTCCTGTTAGCCAGGCTTTTGCATTGATCTCCACATGGCCCCCTAGCCTATTATATATGACTTCGGGGCTGGAGAGATGGCTCAGTGGTCTAAAGCACCTACTTGGAACAAGCTTGGCAAAGCACAGGGACCACGGTTCGATCCCCCAGCACCACA